ATTCAGAATGGAGCACCAGGCCTGCTCTAACTATAAAGGGACCACCCTACAGTATATTAAAAGGTTCACATCAACGTATGCAATTTAAATGCACATGTATATAATTAACTAGACACATTACCAGTGTAAGCTGCTAATTTGGAATGAGACACAAAAGACTGGAATATGTGCAGAGGAAAAAAACTAAAATTAAAATGGCTACATAATGAAAACTGCTTCATGCTGTGTCTACTATTTTCATGTAAACTTAATGCAACTGTAAATATATTTTAATGAACAGTAGAATGAGGCAATTACAAAGAGCAGAGGAGGGCAGCGCAACAGTGAAACCGTATCACAATAGCTCTTTTCCTCATATTAAAAGTGCCGCCTAAAGACGGGAGGAATTTTAACTTCATAATGTCACAGGAAAAATGCTTTGTTTATTAGAGAGGCAGACCTATTTACCAATTTGCAGGGAGTGAAACTTGAGCACTCAAGTGAAAACGGGGAAATCCTAGCTAACCAACAAAAAAAAGAGGATATCCGAGCTTGACGTTTTTGGTGTTAAAATATCCCATTAGTCTTTTCTATCTTCTCTAAAACAGCTTTGTATTCCCATAAAGATTTCCTGAAAGCGTGAATGCATTCTTGATATGCTTAAGCATCAAAAACCATTATAGGTATCATAACCAAAAATATATATATGAAAGTTTGGAAATCTTCATTTAAGTACTGTCTGTCTCCTAGCGAAAAGAATACATTTGCATGTGTAAAATGAGTGTGATGAATTCCATGACTTCAACATTTTAGAAAAATAATGCAAGGCTTTTGACACTGATAGATTTTTGTTATTAGTATTATAATTCAGGTGGAATGATAAGAGGGTAAGTAGCTGGGAGATATCCGTTGTCTCCAGGGCTGAGCCTGTGTGCCCTTGGGGGTAGGGAGCAGAAGACGTTTTTGTGAAGCGATGGAAAAGTTCAGCCCATGAAATATCCTGTGAGCTCTAATTCTTTAAAGATGCATGGATTTTGCTAAATATCAGGGGATAAAAGTTTATTCCATTTTTAAATAGAAAGTAAGGCTGGATTACAGAAGTCAGAGGAACTAGAACAGTTTTACTTAATGCATATGTCCCAGTTTTCATATTGAACAGATAATATGTTATCTGATCAATATGGGATATATATATGTTTTTTAATATTTACTTGTATATATTTATATTTCTACTTTTAAATGTTAGATGATCACTTTGGGCTTAGTTAAAAGAAGATGACTATCCCAGACAAGAAAAAGCTAAAGGAGTTCATCACTATGAAACCAGTATTACAAGAAATGTTAAAGGTGCTTCTTTAAGCAGCAGAAGAAAAAAAACATCAAAAATATGAGTAATAAAATGGTAATAACTACAAATCTATCAGCAATTACTTTAAATGTAAATAGATTAAATGCTCCAATCAAAAGACAGGGTGGCTGAATGGATAAGAAAACAAGACCTTTACATATGCTGCCTACAGGAGACTCACTTCAGGTCAAAAGACACACGCAGACTGAATGTAAAGGAATGAAAAAAGATATTTCATGAAAATGTAAACAACAAAAAAAGCTGGGGTAGTAATACTTACACCAGTCAAATAGACTTTAAAGCAAAGACTATAACAAGAGACAAAGAAGGACCCAGTAATTCCACCTCTGGGTATTTAAGCAAAGAAACCCAAAACACTAATTCGACAAGACATATGCTTCCATTTGTTCACTGCAGCATCATTTACAGTAGTCAAGATATGGAAGCAACTTAAGTGTTCATCAATAGATGAATGATTAAAGAAGAGGTACATATATACAATGGAATATTACTAATCCATAAAAAAAGAATGAAATCTTGCCTATGAAACAACATGGATGGACCTAAAGGGTATTATGCTAAGTGAAATAAGTCAGACAGAGAAAGACAAATACCATATGATTTCACTTATATGTGGAATCTAAAAACCAAAATAAACGAACAAGCAAAACAGAAACAAACTCATAAAGAGAACATTTTGATAGTGGCCAGATGGAAGGGAGTAGGAGGGGGGATGGTGAACAAGGGGAAGGGATTAAGAAGTACAAATTGGTAGTTATATAAAAATCATGGAGATGTAAAGTATAGCATAGGGACTATAGTCAATAATATTGTAATAACCATGTATGATGTCAGATGGGTACTAGACTTATCGGAGTGATCACGTCATAATTTATATAAATGTCCAATCACTATTTGGTACTGATACTAACAGAATATTGTATGTCAACTGTAATTGAAAAATAAAACACATCATTAAAAAAAGAGAAGATGAATAACAGCATCAATTACTGTCCTTGTTTTATGGTTATAAAGTAAATTATAATAAAGCTATAGATTAAGCAGGAATATGGGCTGCCAGGCAGATTTTAAAAATCTATTTAAAATGACATGGGTATAATGTCATTAAAAATTCTAATTACTCAATAATGCAACTGAATTGCTAAATGCAGGAGGATACCTGCTTGAGGTGATGCAACCAGTGCGCACACCTCCAACTCCTAATCATGATGCCTTTCCAATCTGACTCAGCATTTGCATGCAACTAGTATTTATAGAACTATGGCATTTCAGGGCATAGAGGGGTTCTACATATGTCTAGTGAGATCCCTTGATAAAATGAAGAAACCCAGGCCAGCCCATATGGGCTAGGTAACATACCCAGGGACTCCAGCTAGTTAGTTCACTACTCTTTCACTCTATTATGTTGCCTTGTAAGTAATAATTTTAGCAGAATAATATGTGTAACAATTACTTTACTCAACATTGCTGATTTTGCTTTCATTTACATTTTTCTTTGAATTCTTTTTCCCCAACAGAAAAGTCCTTTCCCCAACATTTTACAGTATACTAAAGAATATTAATAGTATACTAAAAAGAATATTAATAAATAGTTTTAAAGAGCCAAAATAATGTGTTAGCTCTGACATTCCTTTAACATGAGAACACTGAGCTAGGCTTAGTTCATTTTATATAATTTTTCTTAACAATTACAACCATAAAATTTAAGTGATGTGTTATTTTTTCACTCATTCTCTTCGTCCAAAATGAAGCTAAAGCAGGTTTTCAAAGTTCACATCCCTTCTAGTCATTTTTGCTCATTTTAATCCAAAGGAAAATTTTGCTAATTTCAAAAGAAACATTTTTAAAACATAAAAACCAAAAGATGTGATTTGCTGAATTAGATTCAGAAAAGCTGTCAGAGAATAATCTTTTAATCTCAAAATTTTATTTACAAAAATTTACTGAAGAGCAAAAACTGGAATGTTGATATCAAAGGGTATTACTGATTTGCTGACTCCATTTTTTTAATTAGTTTCATGTGTAAAAAACAATGTAATAGTTAGACATTTATACCCCTCACAAAGTGATAACCCCCTTCCCCCAATCTACTGCCCCTCTGACATTGTATATATCTATTACAATTCCATTGACTCTAGTCCTTATGCTATACTCCATATCCTGTGACAATATATATATTAAATTATAGTTGACGTACAATATTATTCAGCTTCAGGTGTACACTGCAGTGGTTAGGGATCCACACCATCCATGAAGTAGTCTCTCTAATAAGACATGTGCCCATCTGACACCCTATAAAATCTTTACAGCATTATTGATTATATTCACTAAACTGTCTTTCACATCCCCGTGTCAGCAGTGTAGTTACCAATTCCAATTTGTGCTTTCTAATCCCCTCCCCTTTTCCCTCATCCCCACTCCCCTCCCATCTGACAAACATTAGTTTTTCCTCTATATTTTCTGATCCCATTTTTATATAAACTCAGTCATGTGAGTTGGGTTCCTATGTGATGGTGCACCTTGCATCAAATAACTTAAGCTTATTAACAAATGCTTTGATAGTTCTTGGTCCATGGAGATTTCTACTAATTGCCCTGTGCTTTTAACAGTTCCAAATACATTTTACAATTGTTTATTATAAAAATGACTAGAATGCAGTTGCTGCATGCCTCGCATCAGCCTAATAAATATTAGGATGCAGAGATAGGTCTATCAGTCTACTTGATTACGCAGAAACGGGACCACAAAACAGATTCTGGCTCTTGGTGCAAAATATGAGGCTTAAAAAGCACAGCTATTTTCAAGTTCACTGATTTTCATGAACACCAAAAAACAAAATGAAAGGGACTATCTCAAGCCACAATTATGCTATAATCTTCTGGTGGTAGAAAACATATCTATTTATCTTGGAACTTCCCACAACATCTGCTGCAGTTCTGGCATATAACAAGCATTTAATAGATGTTTATTGATTGTTCATGACTTGATATTAAGACTCACTACAGTGATTAAAATAAATTCTAAAACTGCAACGGTTACTTGATAAATGGGACACAGTGTGGTGAAATGGAAATAACTTTGGGTTTGGAACCAGACAACCTAGGGTTCAATCCTGGTCTGACACTAACCAGCTGTGTCACCTTGAGTAGGTGACGGAATCTCTGAGCTTCAGGCTCCTTGTGTATTAAGTTGGGGTAGTAATAATACCTGCTTTGCAGAGACATTAGGATAAAATGCACTGGTGCATACAGATCACCTAGCATGGTGTCTGGGATAAAAGAGTGCTCAGTGAACACAGCCATGGTGCTCTTTGGGTTGGATCATGAACTTAAACATCAGAGTATCCATTATCCAAATGTTTTGTCTGTCTTTACAAGCTGTGTGCACCTTAACACACTACCTATGACAATAGACATATATATTTTTTAAGTCAGTATCAAAGACTAATGGATGTGCTCCAAAGCAGACTAAATAACAATGATAATCAAAACATGATAACCATTTGATGCAAAAGAACAATGCTCTTTTCTGAAAAAGAAATATTCTGTCTATTTGTTAATCAGTTGTAAACTCCTTGCACAGATACACTCTGTACTTATAAAAACATACGTTTTCTACACCCCCTTTGTACTATGGGCCCATTGTCCCTTACCAGTAGCTTCCAGTGGACGAAGGCATATTGCATCCAAAAAGTAACATATGATGGACAGTATCCATGCTGGCACGAGGCTGGAAGTCAACTGATAAGAGAAAATAACACATGAATGTGAATACGAGTTCTGGTTCTGCGCGCAAATGTCACAAGAGATCGCATTATTCAACAGTGTGAATAGCTGTATAACAAAGATGTTTTGATGCTCTTAGGATCGAATGCCCTGGTTATATAAATGGTCTTATTCCTGAAGATGAGAATGATTTGATACTTTAATTTAGTAGGATAGTAAACTATTATGTAACAAAAAGAGAAAATAATAATTAGTAGGCTGAAACTACACATATACCCACATACGCTTTTTTAATGGAAGAACCCCTTTTAAAGTGATGAGAGCATTACATATGGATGTAAAAATGAAAGTTCCAGCCTATGTATTCACAACGCATTTCCTTCCAGGTTTCAGTAGTGAGCTGAGAACCATAAAACACTGCACAGCACTGCACTGAAACAGAGGTCACAGTGAGGGTCAAAACGTGAGCAAAAGAATCCATAACACAAAGTTATTACCATCTTAAAATAACAGTAGTCAGTAGGATGTGATCTGGAGAAAAAATTTACTGGAAAAGTGGGAAATGTGTCTTCAAAAACATAAAAAGTGTATCTTTACTTTCCTGCATGAGCACTATGCCCTTGTTAAAGGGATACTGACACACAGTGTCATTTCTCTTTGCTCCTGTTAATATTGGTTGAAAGACATTAAAATAGACAAAAATCAGTTCAGAGCTAAAACAAAGGAAGAAATCAAATATAAGTATACTATAATATATGGCTGATATTGAGCCTAAGTCCCTTTCCTGGTTTGGGTTTGGCTCATCCCCTTTTGTCTACATTCAACATGCTGTCCTAAGGGCCAGTATACAAGTTACCTTTACACATAAAAAGTGCTGAATAGCCTCAAATGATCTTAAGTCTCAAGTGTGTGTAAAACTTCATCTTTTAGCTCTGTTTGTCTGATAAAATTCATAAAGCATCATTTATTGCTAAAATATGTATCTGAGACATGAGTTTTTATACAATAAAAAATGTTCTACGTCAAATTATAGCATCATGACTTGCAAAGTGTGGTGATCACAAAACACAGGGCATCTACTATGAGAGATCTCATCTCACAACTTTCAGGGAAAATAAAAAGCCTTTCATTTACTGCCCTGAAAATGAGAATTTAGAGCCTAAAAAGTCACATCTGGAGATTTTCATGCCACCATTTAAAAAACTAACAGGGAATGGCTGGAAAACGGACTTGAAGTAACCTGGGGCTTTGTTTTCTATTACGAAAGAACACGGTAAGCCTAGGAGATTGAAGAAGATACTTGAAAGGAAAAAATCAATCGGAAGTTACAACAGTTCACAAGTCATAGAAAATAATATTGTTACCAAGCCTTAGTCTGTTAGCAAGAAAAAGAGAAGGAAGAAGAGGGATTCTATCTCCACAGACTCACTCTCAGGTTGAGTGCAGGAGTTCCTTCCTCCCTTCCCGAATCCTCGCAGGGGATCAGTCATGCCAGAAGGAAAATTGAAAATGCCTCATATGGGAGTATCTGGACTTTATTTTTCTGATTCACTTAAAATTTATTTTGGTATGTGATACAATTTGTTATCTTATATTCATTTTTGTCAAGTGACTTATAGCACTCTATGGACATCTATAATTTTTGGTCTGACTGTATCGACCTCCCCCCACCCCCGCTTTGTTTTTAATACTCGTATCTCTCTGCAAATCCATAAGGGGTTTGTCAAACGAGAGGCTGACTCCTCTGCTTTTGCAGAACATATGTAGATGATTATATGGTTCTCATCTCCTGTAGATTCTATTATGGGTGAATTATAGTAATAGATTTCCTAAATTGAATCATTCTGGGAATATTTGTATTGAACCAACATGGCCAAGTGCATTTTATCAAGAACTCAATTCATCAAGATGTATGTACACCTATGTGTACTGCAGCATTATTTACAATAGCCAAGACATGGAAACAGCCTAAGCATCCATTGACAGATGACTGGATAAAGAAGATGTGGTGTACACACACACACACACACACACACACACACACACACACACACACACACACACACCACATATAATGAAATACTACTCAGCCATAAAAGTGATGAAATATTGCCATTGCAACATGGATAGATCTTGAGAGTATTATGCTTAGTGAAATAAGTCAGATAGAAAAGAACAAAAACTGCATGATTTCACTTACATATGGAATATAAAATAAAAAATAACAAACAAACTAACAAAACAAACTCATAGATATAGACAACAGAATGGTGGTTACCAGGGGGGAAGGGGCAGATTTAGGCAAAGTGAGTAAAGAGGGTCCAACAGTGGTAATGGAAGAAGACTATAGACTTTGGGTGGGGAGTACGCAACAGAGTACACAGGTATCAAATTACAATGTTGTACACCCAGAAATTATATATGTTAGTAACCAATGTTACCCTAATAAATTTAACTTAAAAAAACCTGTTGGATGCAAAAGAATGTGAGTTTGAGGTGTTATCTAAAAATCTAGGTGAAAATACCCAGCATAATATTGGAATTATGTGACTCTTATTCAAGAAAGAGGTCAGAGAATTACATATTTGGGAATCACTCAAAAATTGAAACCTGGATCCAGAAGGGTAGACAACAGCACCAAAGGTGAAAGTAAGAACCACAGAGGAAGCTCAGGACAAGTTTTAGAGAAAGCCTTGAGCCGTCAAGATCTGTGCAGGAGACCCCAACAGTGTCTTTTTAGTATTAATGCACTGTGTGCACTGCTATAAAACAAGGCAAACAACATTTTAGAAAATGGGTGGGTTATCATTAAATTTATAAAATAAAATCTTAGTAAGCCAAAGACTCAGGTAAGGACAGAGAGGAGACCTGTTGAGAGAGGAATAAATCTTGAGGACAACAACATATGACCTCTGTGGCTTTTCATTTGGAAGGAAAGCTAAATGCATTGCCTGGGTCCCTGCTTATACAAAATTGTCTTTTGTACAGGGAAAAATTATTCCCAGTATAACTTCTCTAGCCATTGTCTGAATTTTTTTTTCTCCTTTAGACATACTATTTTAAGAGCCACTTATTTGTTCCACAGTGAACTCTTACTAGACACGTGTTTTAGTTTCTAAAATGAGAAATGCAGGGGTTCAGAGCAAGCCCTCCCTTCCACCAAGGTGTGCCTCTGATACGTGGATTATTTTGAGCTAAAGGCAACCAAGAGCCTGCAGGCTCAAGAGAAACTTCCGCTCTATCCCCTTAACTATCTAGAAGAATTTAAATTAGGATCCTGGCCCATGATAAGAGTTGAAACCAAAAGTGACTTTTTACCTAGCTATATGGCAGGGCATATAATTACTGAACATTTGCTCTCCCTACAATGACCTCCTGAAGCCCCAAGGTGTATTACTTCATCCCTAGTTCAGAATGTCTTATATACCTCAAGTTCCCTTTCTGTTTCTGACTCTCTCATGTATGTAGGGCCTCTGACTCTCTTGTGGATGGGGGTTCTCATTTATATGTATGCAGTTAAATTTGGTTATTTTCTCTTGTCAATCAGTTTGATTGTTAGGCCAGCCGAAAGAACCTTGAGGGTAGAGCAAAGTTTCTTCCACCCCCACAGAAACAAATTAATATCTTTAAGTGGTAGTAAAGGAAAGTTCCTCTCACAAAAACTTACTCTCACTGACTCACACATTCCTTCGGAAACTCAAGACCTAATTTAAATGTTAAGTAAATTATTGGTACAGACTGAAAACAAGCAACTAACCAACTTTTTCATATCTTAAAGAAAGAGGATACTGAAGTATTTACATTATTACAGCTCAAAGTACAACTTATTGAAAGTTGAAATGAAAAATACCTCCAGCAAAAAAGAATGTCCTATCAAAATGTAAATCTAAAACAAACAGTCGTGGCCATTAAATAAAGTAGGACTTGGACAATTCCACTGAAGGGCTTGCTACCAGCTGTGGGGAGGGGCCAACTGGGAAAAGGCTGGCTGGTGGGGTCATTTTCTGGATTTGCTCCATTCCTACATATTATGCCTGGCTGTGCAAAACAAGACCCCACCCCTAATAAATAAGAAAGAGGTTCACTGAGCACAAGAAGTACATATGAGTAGGTTCGAGATTTCAACACTACACAAAACAGAATATGGAAACATATTTTGAAATCACATCTTAACAAAAAATCCTCCCTGCTTTCTATGTCTTCCACAATATACGAAGTAAAGGATCTCCGGGGAAGAGAGCTAGAGGATAATAATAAAAACAACTACATTTAAGTGTGTGATTCTGACAGGCTGAATAAATACAGGCAGCCTTGGGATAGTGACACACAGCAAACAACACAGCCTTGTGAACATGCAAGGGAATGTTATAACTGATAAGATTAAAAGTGCCACCGCCTCTTCTAACTCAATAACAAGATGACAGTTGCTTAAGTGGAAATGGTACTTCAGTCTCAGCAGATGTTAACAGTTCAGGTTGCCTGATGTATCAGAACAGGGCAAAATTTGTAGGCAAGTAAGTGTGAGTAAGTCCTGCGACCTAAATACTTCTGAAGGACTGAGATTCCACAAACAGTGACTCATGCATATTAATTAAAGAAAGTATGATGACACTGAAAGTGCATAGGTCGAAGGATTTCTCAAAGGATAATGCCATCTGAAATGAAAGACCTGAAAGTATGTGTATGGGCAACATATTGAGCAAAGAGACAACTAGGCCTACTTTCTGGAGTTCTAAGCAAAATTTGTTCTAACTGCAGGAGGTTGTTGGCAATTTATGGCCTCTTTTAGTTAACATCATCAGACTACTATCAGGGCCATAAAATACACGATGATTGTGACCTAAGAAAGAATTTCATTTAGCACTTGGCTTTTTCTGTATTTTTCCTTTCCAAGCAGATATCTAGGTCTGCATGTCAAATTTTGATGTATCTGCCAGACCCAGGATGTAGAAAAACTTAGAAGAACTCACACAGCCAAGGAGAGGAACAAATGATTAGGGAGATATCCATGTACA